TYWTMYMCTGTAATGTCATATACTGAACACACKGGCTTTGCAGCCAAAACAGTTGCTGTGCTCTGTCATTTCCTGTTATGTGTTTGTATCTTTTCTCATCCAAAACTAAACCCCATCAATTTAAACTCACCTCATTGTTTTTTTCCTGAAGAATAATCTGTTCTGTTTTTTTCAGTAATTTGACAAAGATATTTACTTCATTTAAATTGAAAGGCCACTTGTAAAATGATRAATTTGGAAAAGCATATCTTTATCTGGTGTCAAACTTACAAATAGTTTTAGTTTTGTTGCCAGGTCTTTTTTGTTCTGAAAAGTCAAATAAAATAAACTAATTCTAAAAAAGGATATGAGGAAAGTCACGGTCTACCTCTGTTCTCACTTGCCAGGTTTATGCTGGCATTAGGGCTCTGATTCAGTGGGGTTACTCACAGGGGCACCAACTGCAGGGAGACCGGGACTAGACCACACTTTTGGAGAACACAAAATTCTCAGGAACACATTTATTGTAAACTTTTTCAAGGTGATCTGAGACTGAGTCCTGTCAGTGTCTCACAGTAACTGCATTTAAAGAATTTATTTCACACTGCTCTGAACCCAATAACATAAGAATGAAATTCAGTTCAGAGCACCGTTTTGTACCATCCGTGATTTCTGRAATACCATTTCACCAGCCCTAGATGGGATCAAAGCCAAACAAGGCTACTGCTGCTGCCCCTGCAGTGCTTCTGCAAAGGTCACATATTACATCACGTGTTGCTTCATAAATCTCTGGGAGACTCCACGGGTCTTCAGCGATGAAAGTCKGTGTATGTAGGTCATGTTGTTATCTAGACACATCTCCAAGTATCTTTTAAATTGTTTGGGGGTGACCACTTTTCATTCTTTTGAAGTGCCAGTTCATAGGGTTTGAACTGCCTGGATGTTTGCAGCCCCAKCTAGCTGACCCAGCTGTGAGATGCAATGCAGCTGGTCCTGATGCCTTCATGGGCATCCAGGCAGCCTGTCCYACCACCTTCCTCAGCAGAGAGGAAATGAAACCTCCCAGGTGAGGGCTGTGAGTTCTGCACAGTGCTCAAGGCTCTCTGATGACAGGGCTGAACAAAGCATATTGTCTCTGTAAATCCTCAGGTCCAGTTTCCTATTCATGGTAAAGTTTCTATGGGCTTCCAGGATGAAAGGGATTTCTGCTCCAGAAATTTCTATGTGAGTGCTGTTTGCGATTTAGGGAAACTGCTTCAAAGAAATTTGAGTAAATCKTGTGTCTAGTGTAACATAAGATGTCATAAAAATCCTTCTGACATCCTGTGACATTACTGAAGTCTGGGCTGAGTCATTATCCACTCATTCCTCCCAAATGGTTTACCGTGAATGCTGGTACWCATGTTGGTGTTCCTCAGCCTGTCACAGAGTTCAGCTGCATCTYCTCTCCCCACACTATTAAAACTATTAAAAACTGAGGACAGAAGTTACATCAATGCTCCCTGAACAACTGGAGCTGATCCCTTTCCTTTGTGTCTTACCATAATCGATACACAAATGTTATGAGGAATGAATACACACCCATGAAAGAGGAACACAGATTTTTTTTAAAAGGTGCTTGTTTTGCAGGCATGATGTTGTACAAACCTTTTTGTTCCTTCAGCCTATGAATAGTAGTTTGCTAGAAAAAAAGCTTTCAGGATTCACAGAGATGCAAAAAAATAGCTCTGCATACCCTTATACTGTGGGTATATTATGTGCTAGCATCCCTTGCCARGTAACCTGCATCAAGGTCCAAGAGATCAACATTTTTTTGATTATATTAACACCATCAGGTGCTGGTACCATTAATATTCTCCTTTGAGTGTATCTTTGCATACTAGACCAACATCAGCCAAAGTCAGAATCCATCACAAGTTCTAAGGCAYTGGTCATCTTGAGGCTTTTCTGAGGTACAGTCATGACATGGTTTGTAACAAACAGATAAAAGATCAGGGCTTGCCACCAGAAGAAACCCCAATAGATTATAATGTCAGCAACAAAATGGAATAACTCTTCTTGACAGTACTCAACTCCTTAACAAAGCTCAAAACCACAACAGGGGGCTTAATAAACCCCCACCTGTAACAGCTGAGAACCACTGTCTTTTATTTTAAGATCCCAGTTAAGCA